AAAGCTAAATTTTCTTCTCGTCTGACCATAAAACCATTGCCACACGTCTCCAGTATCATTTACATGCTTTAACGCAAACTCCAAATGCGATTTAAGATGATTCTTTTTCAGTAATGACTTCTTTCTTGTCATTCACCTATTTTGGCCAGTTTTGTGTAGGAACCGGGATATTGTCAATGTATGAACACTGACTCCCATCTCAGACGTAGAAATTTGCAGATCTTTCAAAGTCACTGTTGGCTTCATACTGGCATCAGTAACCAGTTTCCTGCTTGCCTGGCTGCTTAGTTTGGAAGGGCGGCCTGATCTTGGTAGTGACTAGGTGGTATGAAGCACATTAAACTTTTTAATGACGGACTTCACTGTACTCAAAAGGACAATCAGCGACATTTTCTTGTAATCTTCTCCTGATTTGTGCTTCTCTACCTGATTTGTTTGGAAAGATCCTTGGTCTTCATGGTTGGTTTGTCATATCACTATGTGAGTTGTGTCTTGAACAGATGCATTTACACTGAAGTCAAGTTAAATCTCTTTAATTATACACAGACAGAGACCATTACATTAATTTCATGACCTTTCAAACTAATCTTTTGCACCTGAACTGATTTAGGGTTGTCGTACGAAGGGATTAAATACTTACGCAATTGAGAATATTCTAATATTCTTTGAAAATCTAATTTACTTACATAATATCAAAATTTTTTAGCTTTCTCAGTTTGAAGTAGATTGGGTAGATTCTAAATATAAAGTCCCATTTGAAAGTGTCATGACTGCAAACTCAGACGGCAACTAAATGTGGAAACTTTGTCGGGGTGAATACTTTTGCAAGGCAATATAGGTCTGCTTTACAACAGGGGATTCAGACAGGATAATTGCAGAGTAAATCTGAATATAACTAAATGACAGATTTAAGCTTTTAGAATAAACAGACTGGCCACATGTTGGAAAGTAGAGAACAATCTTTATCAACCACAAAGCCAAAAAAAAAAGTTACACAGTCACCTTCCTACTGGGCCTTGAATTGATCAACAACTTTCTTCTTTACCCCCCAGTGGCATAGCAGTATGTCTGTGGACTTACAACGCTAGAAACCGGGTTTCAATACCTGTGATGGGCAGAGCACAGACAGCCTATTGTGTAGCTTTGTGCTTAACTTCAAACAAACAAGCAAGCGTTCTTCCCTTAAGATGTATTTCTATTGAACTATTACATTGATAACCACGCAAAGCTGATATAAACTAGTGCTCCTCGCAAAAACAGGTAAGCTTTATATACCAAAACAATAGAAATAACAAAGCCAGGTGTATATAACAAACGAATGCATTGCACAAATAGGATACTTGTTTATTGTGAATTGAGCTTTTGGGTGTGGTAGCCCCTGGCTATCGTCCTGTTTACTGAAAGAGAAGATAACCTTTTCTTTCTGAACATAACATATCTTCCCTGCAAAAAAAGTCAGTTAACTGCTAATTAGTGAACCCACATTTTGTATGCTCTCAAAACAAAGTCCAAGTGTTACATGAGTAAATCTCTGCATCCTAACTGGAAACTCTTAAAAAATACAATAATTATTAAAACTTGCATGTCAGTGTTCTCTGCTAGTTGCTGGTTAAACTCATGAAATGGAAAACTTTTAGGACTAAAGACGAAATGTAACATTTGTTACAGTTAGTAGTGCAATAACAATGGAATTTATTGAAAAATATCTATATCCGAAGAAGCGATAATTTATTTTAAAACCTAATTATAATAAAGTGATGAAACACCCATGTTAAAAAATGAAGAACTAAAGACTTTATCTAACTTTTTATTTAAGTCTTAATAGTAAATTATGAGCTATTAGGATAGAACAACGGCTGTTTAAATTTCTATTGCTATTATGGTTTACACTTATATTCAGGCATTCAGTTTCATTAATGGATATTTTTTGAAGATAATGTACAACTTCAAGACCATTTCTTGGTTCACTTCAACAGTATCGATAATCACATTGAAGTCACAACAGAAAAAGAGTGCGAGAGAAACTACACTTCTTGTACGTTTTAGTTCACAAACGAAAAAAAAAAAGGAACTTGATCTACTAACTGTATATTGGTAACCTTAGAAGGTAGTAAAATACGTTGATTTTAATTTCTTTGTTCAAATGAATCGGATCGTTTTGAAAAAAACAAGCATATCATGGAAGATAATAGGCACCTCAACCATTTTATAGAATAAAGGAAAATTGCCTACAAAAAAAAAATAAGATTGGTGGTCCATTATATTACAGGATTATCCGAACAGGTTAAAAAAACGAATAAATATTAATGTTAGAACTAATAATTTCGTTTTGAGTTTACGTAATGATTATAAGTATTGTTACGTCTCCGTTTGTTAATTAATTTTCCGTAACTTCGTACGGACGAAACTTTAGCGACACAAGTCCTTTCTTAATAAAACTGGTTTATTCTTTCTGAATATAACTTTACCGATACACTTATTTTCAACAGTCGCTCTAAAACAAACACTATAACGAACGAACGTTAACTTCAACAATACCCTGTGACTGCAGATCAATTACTCACTACCTACACACATACTGTTGCGTCACGCCGTCACCCTCTTATATATACCAGACTACCCTATATCTAGTAATCTCCCGACAATTCACGAAGGTACAAGATATTTCCAGTAAGCAGGGGGCGTGACACTAGTCACGTGATCTCGCTGACGCAACAGTATTATTAAATTCCACGTTACAGCTTTTACAGCATTGGAGAATATTTTTAAAACAGGTACGACGTTTCGATTACTGGTGCGATCACTCTCAAGTATATACTTGAGAATGATCGCACCAGTGATCGAAACTTCTACCTGTTTTAGAACTGTTTATCGACCCCACACAACTTTAAGCCATATCATAGTGCACCCAGAAGACATCACCCACCCCGAAAACAGAATCAGTAGTATATATATAAAATTCACTATGAAACACTTTATGAAATCTATCATGGTGAAACAAACTTTAAAGAACATTAAAAGGATGTTACATTTTGTCGGATCGACCTTTAGGTTTAGTACAGCATTTACTTACAAAAAAAAAACATTTTAAATTTGTAAAATAGTAGTTATTGTCAAACCCAGTAGCAAATTTAAACGCATTCTTCACGAGTCGCGGCGTATCCTAGGGGACAAAAATCATAGTTACGATTACAACTGTACCACCAGAAATCACGTGCTACTACCGTAAAACTATTTGATTCACTTAACTAAAATTACTCACGCTAGATTGTGTCGAGACGTATGGCACGTTTTTAACCAATGATTTGAAGGAAATTGTTTTAAACTTTATTTTGGTTAGTATGTCTCTAAGAAAAAAGTTATTAATATTCTAGCAATAAACGACCTTGTAACACCTTTTTTAATTATTTATTTAAGTGGATGACGTTGTAATGTCGAAACATGTA